GAAATCCAACCAATGCTCCGTTCAGCAAAGGACAAGAGGGATCCTCTCACCTCTGCAGGAGTCTACCATTGTGTCCCATGCAGCTGTGGACAAGAAGTCTCCAGAGGGACCACCAAACGCAGCAGCATTGCCCAGACACGCATCAAGGAACATGAAAGGCACTGCAGACTCCTTCAACCAGAGAAGTCAGCCATAGCAGAGCACCTGATGAACCAACCTGGACACAGCATATTATTTGAGAACACAGAAATGCTGGACCACTCTCACAACCACCATGTCAGGCTACACAGAGAAGCCATTGAAATCCACAAGCATGTGGACAATTTCAACAGAAAGGAAGAGACCATGAAAATGAACAAAATCTGGCTCCCAGTATTAAAAAACTCTAAAATTACAGCAGAAAAACAACAGACAGGAAACAAACAGGCACATGAAATCACTCTCAACAAAAGATTCCCCCCAGGCGCTTCCAAGCCATTGAATGCTAATCAAGGTGATCAGCTGAAACATTCACAGCTAGCCCCAGCAAACAAAAGTCCTTTGTCTCACCCTGGTCATTCCACAGATATATAAACCCATTTTTCCTATTTCCAACAGACCTCACTACCTCTGAGGATGCTTGCCATAGATGCAGGCGAAACGTCAGGAGAAATGCCTCTAGAACATGGCCCTATAGCCCGAAAAAACCTACAAGAACCTAGTGATTCCAGCCATGAAAGCCTTCGGCAATATTATTATTATTGTTGTTGTGATTGACAGTCTTTCTGTCCCGCTTTCCTCGCCCCTCCTGAGGGGGACTCTCAGCAGTTCACACGTACCTGGCCAAACTTCAGTGCCACGCTTTATCTGTTGTTCATTTGTTCAGTCGTCTCCGACTCTTCGTGACCTCATGGACCAGCCCACGCCAGAGCTCCCTGTCGGCCGTCACCACCCCCAGCTCCTTCAAGGTCAGTCCAGTCACTTCAAGGATGCCATCCATCCATCTTGCCCTTGGTCGGCCCCTCTTCCTTTTACCTTCCACTTTCCCCAGCATAATTGTCTTCTCTAGGCTTTGCTGTCTCCTCATGATGTGGCCAAAGTACTTCAACTTTGTCTCTAGTATCCTTCCCTCCAATGAGCAGTCGGGCTTTATTTCCTGGAGGATGGACTGGTTGGATCTTCTCGCAGTCCAAGGCACTCTCAGAACTTTCCTCCAACACCACAGCTCAAAAGCCTCTCTCTTCCTTCGCTCAGCCTTCCCGAAGGTCCAGCTCTCACATCCGTAGGTGACTACAGGGAAGACCATGGCTTTGACTGGCGCAGTGGGTTAAAGCACTGAGCTGCTGAGCTTGTTGATCGAAAGGTCGCAGGTTCGATTCCGGGGAACGGCGTGAGCTTCCGCTGTCAGCCCTATCTTCTGCCAACCTAGCAGTTCAAAAACATGCAAATGTGAGTAGATCAATAGGTACCGCTCCGGCGGGAAGGTAACGGCGCTCCATGCAGTCATGCCGGCCACATGACCTTGGAGGTGTCTACGGACAACGCTGGCTCTTCGGCTTAGAAATGGAGATGAGCACCAACCTCCAGAGTCAGACATGACTGGACTTAATGTCAGGGGACTACCTTGACCTTTAACTATCATTATCATCATCATTATTATTATTACAAATGACAAACTGTCTCTTTACCATGGTCCCAGTTGCAGACACCATGACACTCATCAACCAGAGGTTCCCAGAAGACATCACAGCTCTGTTTCACCATGGCCTCACCTCCAGCTACTTTCAGTGGGACAGGCCGGTAGCCAGGATTTCGTTTCGGGGGGGGGGCTGAATTTTTTTCAGGGGTGGGGGGGGGGCTGAGTTTTGGGGGGGGGCTGAGTCTGAGTGAAAGAGGGTCTAGCCTAGCAAACCTTTTGTATCATTACCCCATTACCCCCATGCATATGGGATATATTGAGTATGGTGATCAGATCATGATATGAATAAACATAACAGTTTAAATAATGCACCAGTAAGGCCTTTTCGCGAACCACCATGAGAATTTGGGGGGGGGGGCCTGAAGCCCCTCAAGCCCCCCCGCCGGGCTACATGCCTGACCACCAGCTACTTTCAGTGGGACAATGAATTCTATGAACAGAAAGATGGAGTAGCTATGGGGAGCCCTCTCAGCCCGGTCATAGCTAACTTCTACGTGGAACACTTTGAAAAACAAGCCCTGGAGACAGCAACCAAAAAGCCCACGATATGGTTCAGATATGTGGATGACACCTTCACCATTTGGAGCCATGGAGAAGAAGAACTCAACAGGTTCCTGGACCATCTTAACAGCATCCACCCAAACATCCAGTTCACCATGGAAAAAGAAAATGAAGGAAGACTGCCTTTTCTAGATGTCCTAGTCATCCGCAAACCAGATCAACAATTGGGTCACACCATCTACAGAAAACCCACACACACAGATAGATATCTACATCAAAACTCCAACCATCACCCAAGTCAAAAAAGAAGCCCCATTCAAGCCTTGGCAGACCATGCAAAAAGAATCTGTGAACCCCACCTCCTCCTCCAAGATGGACTGAACCCCCTCAACTGGGCTCTCCAGGCCAAGGGAGACTCCCCCTCAGGCATCAGAAGAGCTGCAAGACCACCGAGAAGAAGCCACGAGAGTCAAGATGAAGATCCACCCAGAGGAAAAGTGTTCCTGCCAGACATCAAGGGAACCACTGACCGCAGAGGGAAGCGGATGAGGAAACACAACATACAAACCACTTACAGACCCACCAAGAAAATCCAACCAATGCTCCGTTCAGCAAAGGACAAGAGGGATCCTCTCACTTCTGCAGGAGTCTACCATTGTATACCATGCAGCTGTGGACAAGTCTACAGAGGGACCACCAAACGCAGCATTGCCCAGACACGCATCAAGGAACATGAAAGGCACTGCAGACTACCCAACCAGAGAAGTCAGCCATAGCAGAGCACCTGATGAACCAGCCTGGACACAGCATATTATTTGAGAACACAGAAATGCTGGACCACTCTCACAACCACCATGTCAGACTACACAGAGAATCCATTGAAATCCACAAGCATGTGGACAATTTCAACAGAAAGGAAGAAACCATGAAAATGAACAAAATCTGGCTACCAGTATTAAAAAACTCAAAAATTACAACAGCAAAACAACAGAGGGGAAACAAACAGGCACATAAAATCACTCTCAACAAAAGATTCCCCCCAGGCACTTCCAAGCCATTGAATCAAGGTGATCAGCTGAAACATTCACAGCTAGCCCCAGCAGACAAAAGTCCTTTGTCTCACCCTGGACATCATTCCACAGATATATAAACCCATTTTTCCTACTTCCAACAGACCTCCCATTTTTATTTATTTATTTATTTATTTATTTATTTATTTATTTATTTAAAAATTTTGTATACCGGTCTTCTCACCTCTCTTGAGGGACTCAGGCCGGTTTCCAACAATAATATCACAAACAATCAATAAAACATCATAATTCAAATACACTAAAACATTAAAACAGCAATTATAATCAATAACTACAATGGTCAATCGTCACACTAAAAACGTTGTTCATCATCATCCTTCCATGTCTCTGGGTATTGACTCACTCATCGAATGCTTGTCTCCATAACCAAGTCTTCACCTGTTTTCTAAACGTCAAGATAGAAGGGGCGGTTCTGATCTCCAGTGGAAGAGAGTTCCAGAGCCGAGGGGCCACCACCGAGAAGGCCCTGTCCCTCGTCCCCACCAGACGCGCTTGCGAGACTGGTGGGACCGAAAGCAGGGCCTCTCCAGACGATCTTAACAATCTTGACGGTTCATAGGGGAGAATACGTTCAGAGAGGTAAACAGGGCCGGAGTCGTTTAGGGCTTTATAGGTTAACACCAGCACTTTGAATTGTGCTCGGAAGCTAATTGGCAGCCAGTGGAGCTGGTGTAACAGAAGAGTGGTGTGCTCCCTGCACCCAGCTCCTGTTAGCAATCTGGCTGCCGAGCGTTGGACTAGCTGCAGCTTCCGGGCAGTCTTCAAAGGCAGCCCCACATAGAGAGTGTTGCAGTAGTCTAAACGGGATATAACCAAAGCGTGGACCACCATGGCCAAGTTAGACTTCCCAAGGTACGGGCGCAGCTGGCGCACAAGCTTTAACTGTGCAAATGCTCCCCTGGTCACCGCCGAGACTTGGGGCTCCAGGCTCAGCGATGAATCTAGGAGAACTCCCAGACTGCGATCCTGAGCCTTCAGGGGGAGTGGGACCCCGTCCAGCACAGGCTGTCACCCTATGCCCTGTTCGGCCTTTGGACTGACCGGGAGTACCTCTGTCTTGTCTGGAATTAGTTTCAATCTGTTGTCCCTCACCCAGTCCGTCACAGCAGCCAAGCACCAGTTCAGGACTTGAACAGCCTCCTTAGTAGCAGGTGGGAAGGAGTGACAGAGTTAGACATCATCTGCGTACAGATGACACCGCACCCCAAAACTCTGGATGATCTCTCCCAACGGCTTCATGTATATGTTAAACAACATAGGGGACAGTACTGAACCCTGCGGGACTCCACAGTACAATGGCCGAGGAGTCGAGCAGGAGTCCCCTAGTGACACCTTCTGGGAACGACCGGAGCCAGGCCCGTAGCGAGGGGGGGGGGTTAGGGGTTCAACCCCCCCCCCCCGAAATGTTTCAGATTTTTTTAAAAAAACCTGGTTTACTCATGAATTTTAACTGGTTAACCAAATCCCCATGCTAAGTCTATGAGATGCAAAAAATCAAGAGTCCCTCCAGAACTGCAAGCACTATCTCAAGCAAATATTAGCAATTTATTCACACTGTCCTTACTTGCAGCAATAGCCGATGTAGTTGTTCTGGTACAGCTGTACCAGGAGCTCCAACTTTATTTGCTTTGTATTAAATGTTTGCTTGCAGTCCTAGGTTTCAGGGACTCTGCAGATAGGTGGCTTCCTTTGGTTGCAGTCATAGGGCAAGTCACCTGTCCATCATTGTTAAGTTTTGGTTCCGCCCCTTGCTCAGGGCAATTGGGAAGGGAAGGGAGCCATTTTTAGTTAGTCTCAGCAAGGTAAGCTTATGTATAGGATGTGCAAGCTTCCCCTGTACAAAAGCTTCAACCCTTAAGACCTTCCGGGGGAGAAAGGTCTTAAGAGTCTCCAAAGAATTTCCAGGAAAACAGCCCTAAAGACCAAAGAACTCCAGCTGGAGAACATCTACTGCTTTGCTGGTAGGTCCACTCGGCGTTCGAGACGCAGTTCGACCCGGTAGCGGAGCCCACATCAGTAAGGGTTAGATTACAGTCAGCCTGGGAGAAGTTAAAAAGGGGATTTTCCTTTAAAGAAGAAGTTATTGAAGACAGTTGCCTGTCCTTCGTGGGCAAGATTAGGAATTCACCAGTTGCCCAAAAGCTTGGAATCATTTGCTTAACTTTACTGAAGACAAGAGAAGTTTCTGTTTGATTGTTCATTAATAAAAGACTTTGTTGTACTTCTCAAGCCATCTAAAGACTGTTTGTGGTGGAAACCTCTGAGAACTTCTCTTTAGGCCCCCTGGCTTCCCGCTGGGCAAAGGTTGCACATCCTGTTCTAAAGACAATTATTTACAGGCCCAGCGCGCGACAGAACAGTAGTGAAGCAACCAAGTTGGGGGGGGGGGGGGTGTTGAATGCTCTCATTAAGGAGGCCAGACTTGGTGGAGGTGGTTGACAAGGGCGGAGCTGCAGGCTATTGGAGGATGCTCTGCCCTCTGCTGTGCTCTTTGCTTCAGCGTGAGCTAGGAGGCAGGTTTCAAACTGACCGGAGCCACTGCAAAGCAATACCCCCAAGCCCCATTCCCGCGAGGCGTCCCAGAAGGATACCGTGGTCGACGGTATCGAAGGCCGAAGAGAGGTCCAGCAGAACCAACAGGGACACACTCCCCCTGTCCAGTTCCCGGCGAAGATCATCCACTAAGGCGACCAAGGCTGTGTAAATTTTTCAGCATTTACAAACATTGCCTTTGTATGTCTTAGACCAGAGCCTTCGACACTGTGTGCCATGACACACAAATGTCTCGGCTGCAGTCCACAGGTGCGTCGCTCACTGGAAGAGACCCCCAAAGGGCATCCAGACCCCTTCAGCCAGCCAGGAAGGCCACCCAGCCCCCTTTAAAAGCTTCCCGAGAGATTGAATTACGACAGAAGTGGGGTGCGGGTGCGTTCAAATCTAAGTACTGTTATATCATGTTTATCTACACACTTTATTGATTGAATTGCAATAATTACCACTAAAATGAATGTTTATAAAAGGAAATAAAATGTATTAGTAACAATGTCTGCAATGAAACACATGGTACAGCTACGGAGGAAACTACACCTCATTACCTCTGAGGATGCTAGACATAGATGCAGGCAAAATGTCAGGAGAGAATGCGTCCAGAACATGGCCATATAGGCAGAAAAAACCTACAACAACCCAGTGATTCCGGCTATGAAAGCCTTCGACAATACATTAAACTACACAAGGATTATTTTTATTTATGACATTTATATGAATCTTATCTGTATATTTGGCGCATCGTATATCTGTATATACTATTATATGTATTGAAAATCTTATATGAGTTGGCTTAACCTCTGTTTTGCTACTTAAACTGAATTATAGTGTCACGAAAGGATGCGTGTCTAAAACGTGACACCAACACAAAAAGTTTGGAAAGCTCTGCCTTAGAGTCTCTCTGGGATCAATGACCACAGTTCCCTCCAATGGGAAGTCTATGTCTATGTAGATGTCAATTCTCAGGGACGCTCTTTCTCTTGGGGATACTTGGATTGTGCTTCTTCTGCATGGCGGGGGGTTCTCATCATTATATTTATTTATATCCTGCTTTTTCTCTCCATTCGGACACTCAAAGCGGCTCACAGACTAACAGCGTTGCAATACAACTTAAAATATACAAATATTATCCCCAGTGTGAGTCCTTTTATGTGAATGCAGACCTGAAATCTGAGTGTAGCTCTGTCCACACTCCAGGCATTTATAGGGTTTCTCCCCAGTGTGAGTCCTTTGATGTGTACGTAGACTTGATTTATGAGCAAAGCTCTGTCCACACTCCAGGCAGTTATAGGGTTTCTCCCCAGTGTGAGTCTTTACATGTTGCTGCAGATGATCACTCCGAGTGAAGCTCTTGCCACACTCCAGGCATTTAGAGAGTTTCTGCCCAGTGGGAGTCCTTTCATGTGAACGTAGATGTGAACAACAAGCAAAGCTCTGTCCACACTCCAGGCACGGATAGGGTTTCTCCCCAGTGTGAGTCTTTACATGTCGCTGCAGATTATCCCTCCGAGTGAAGCTCTTTCCACACTCCAGGCAGGAATAGGGTTTCTCCCCAGTGTGAATCCTTTGATGTGTACGTAAATTCGAACTATGATTGAAGGTTTGACCACATTCCAGGCATTTATAAGGTTTCTCCCCAATGTGAATCCTTTGATGTGTACGTAGATCTGAACTATGAGTGAACCTCTGTCCACACTCCAGGCACGTATAGGATTTCTCCCGAGTGTGAGTCCTTTGATGTCTATGTAGACTGGAATTATGAGTGAAAGTCTGTCCACACTCCAGGCAGGAATAGGGTTTCTCCCCAGTGTGAATCCTTTGATGTGTACGTAAATTCGAACTATGAGTGAAGGTTTGACCACATTCCAGGCATTTATAGGGTTTCTCCCCAGTGTGAGTCCTTTCATGTGAACGTAGATGTGAACTCTGAATGAAGCTCTGTCCACACTCCAGGCATGTATAGGGTTTCTCCCCAGTGTGAATCCTTTGATGTTTACGTAGATTTGAACTCTGAGTGAAGCTCTGACCACATTCCAGACATTTATAAGGTTTCTCGCCAGTGTGAGTCTTTTGATGTCTATGTAGATGGCCACTCTCAGTGAAGCTCTGTCCACATTCCAGGCATTTATAGGGTTTCTCCCCAGTGTGAGTCCTTTCATGTGAATGTAGATGTGAACGACAAGCAAAGCTCTGTCCACACTCCAGGCATTTATAGGGTTTCTCCCCAATGTGTGTCCTTTCATGTGCACGTAGACCTGAAATCTGAGCAAAGCTCTGTCCACACTCCAGGCATGTATAGGGTTTCTCTCCAGTGTGAGTCCTTTGATGCCTACGTAGACTTGAACTCTGAATGAAGCTCTGTCCGCACTCCAGGCATTTATAGGGTTTCTCCCCAGTGTGAGTCTTTACATGTCGCTGGAGATTATTCCTCCAAGTGAAGCTCTTTCCACACTCCAGGCATTTAGACGCTTTCTCCTCCATGTCAAGAATGATACAGGTGTTTAATTCCAATACTGAGACTTGACTTCTTTATTCCTTTGTTATCTGTAAGTGAAGTCAAGAATTCAGCAAGATCATCGCCTCGAGAGGGTTTCTTCTCCCTGTGTTATTGGTTTCCTTACTGCATCCAAGAGGTCGCTCCAAAGAGTCCTCACTTCCCTGGTGAAGAAAGAAGAGAAAGATCAAGGATGGAAGCCAGAGACCTTCTCTACCTCCAAGATTTCCCCCTTCCCCTTCATGGGTCACACTGAACACGGAAGTACCAAGAAAGGCCGACACTGGGGCCTCAAGCACATATCTAGAGACCAGCCATGGGAATCAATGGTGGGGTCCCCGACATGCGAGTGTGGAGAAGAGCCAACCAGAGGCCACCTGCTGCAATGCACCCTGAGCCCATCTGCCACATGATGCACCAGGGAGGACCTTCTTGCAGCCACACCAGAGGCACCCCAAGGGGAAAGAGACTGGTCAAGGGACATTTAAGGGAATACCAAGCCTGCAAAGTCTGTGTTTTGTTTGTTTGTTTGTTTGTTTAAAAATGCAATACAATTGTTTGTTTTTCTCCTGAGGGGATAAATAATAACCAATAATGTTTTCCTGTCACGTGGTCTCCTCTCTCCCTCCCCCTGGGGATGGCCAGAAAAGGAAGCCGTGGTTGGAAGGGACTGGGAAGGGATTCGTGGGCATGTCCCTCGTTCCCAGGAGGCCTCCCTCCCTCCCCACCTCGGAGGAGCCCATCGGCCTGTCTTGGGGTTGGGCTGAAGGGGTGCCTTCCACATCTCAGCTGGCATGTGGGGGAAACGTCAGGAGAGAGTGAACCCCCTCCCCCTCTCTGGAGCATGGCCAGGCCATGGCCACACGGGGAGGGAGGGAGGGAGGGGGACACTCCCGGCCACCCAGGGTGGTGATGGGCTCCGGCCAGGGAAGCCTGCCTTCATAGTTTGCCCCATGTTGGAAGGAGCGAACCCGTGAGGAGAGGGCGACACTGCGGACTGACCCTGCTTGGTGGGAGAGAGAGGGGGGGGCTGCCTTCCTTCCTGCTTCCCTTCCTTCCTTCCTTCCTGGCTGAGCCCCAGCTCCTCTTCCTCCTCCTCCTCCTCTTTCTCTTCGGCCGCAAAACCAGCCAAGGCCCCCCCCCCCAAACTAATCACTGAGATAGATAGATAGACAGACACACATGGCATTTTGGACTTCCTACTGGCTATTTGGAATTCTGGGAGTTTTTTTATTTCTTATGTTGTGTCAGGAGCAACCGCTCCTGTTGTGAGAGAATTGGCCATCTGTATGTGGCTGTGGAGCCCTATTCTTGCTCTGCATCTTCTTCCGCAGTGAGGAGGGCATTGGTTTCCAGGTGGAAGGCGGTCCCGGTCGGGGTTGGCTTGACGCGCCTTCCTCCTGGCACGTTTCCCTCTTTCACCCTCCCCTCGTGCCTCCTCAAATTCTGCAGCCATCTGCAAGGACGTTGCCCAGAAGACACCCAGATGATTTGATGTTTTATCATCCTTGTGGGAGGCTTCTCTCATGTCCCCTTTGCATGAGGAGATGGAGCTGACAGAGGGAGCTCATCCGCCTCTCCCCAGATTCGAACCTGTGACCTGTCGGTCTTCAGTCCTGCCGGCACAGGGCTTTAACACACTGCGCCACCGGGGGCTCTGAGCCCGAGCGTGGCGGGGAGCCCCGCCTTCACATTGGTGTGAACCGCAGCGGAGAGTTCCGCAGTTCCTGGATCAAGTTTGGGGACCAACAGATGAAATGTGCCCCCGCAGCCAGCTCAAAAACCAGGAATGCCTGCAACTTTCCTCTTGCTTTCCCTTCTCCCTACTTTGTATCAATTCCCTAATAAAGGTACTTGAAACTTGCAACTTCTTATCTCTCCGCTTGATACTTTTGTATCTTTCCTGACTCAAACTATAACAACACTAAAATAAACCTTTTTCCGGGCTCCGGAGAGCCGTGAGCCCGCGGGAGGCGCCTCCGGGCGCCCCCGGGACCCCGAATCTGCGTCCGTTCAAACCGCGGATACGGAAACCGCCATTTCAGACCCCCTTATCCGCGAAAAATCATAAAATGGCGGATCGCCGCCGTTTCAATTTTATATTTTTCTGCTACTAATCCTAAGCCTAACTGCTATCTCCCTTTTCTCATTTTGGGCTCCTACACCCGGGAATAAATTGTTTTGTTCCAAGTATTTTACTTTGACAGAAATCAGCTGTTTGCCAATTTGGCCGGGTTCTTCCCAGACAGTTCGTTCCTCCTCAGCGGTGCTCACTCCTGCCTGGATCCAGCAACCGGGGACCCACTGTGGCCACCCACAGGGGACCTCGGGAAGGCAGCCAGGCGTGGGTCCTGGCCTCTGACCTGGGAGACATAGTTTTCCAAAGGACATTGCCCCATCATTGCAACCCGGAAATCCTCTTCGGACTCTTTTGCCCTCTCCTATTGACTTTCTGCCCCACGTCTCGGATTGTTTTCCTGCTATATCTTTGGACACGAACTTTCAGACCGGGCTTGCCTTGAAGGACAAGCAGCCTCAGCTTCCGCGCGCCTTCATCAAGAGACTATGAATTTCTTCAAATAATAAAATAAATCAACTATTTTTAATAAACTTTGCTGGGGATGGGGATGGGATTGTTTTATGAAATATATGAAATGTATGGAATGTATATAATGAAATATCATATGGAATGTACTATGATTCCCCTTCCCGCCTTTCCCTTTGACCCTTGCCCCACAAAGATGTGACCTGGGGATTACTGTCGTGAGGAGGAACTCCTTTGTCCTCCCGAAACTCTCCTTAATTGTTTCATTTGCATGGGCCGTACTGTTGATCCCCCGACCCTAGCCGTCGGAGCAGACCAGCGAGGGGAGGGGGTCAGCAGAAACTCGGAAACAAAGACTGATTTAATCAACCAGGTATTGTTGATCCCCCTTTGAGGTCCGATATCGAAAAAGCCTTTTCATATTTCCTCCCAAATCCCATCAACAGACCAGGAAACTCATTGTCCCCCTATCTGACACCCCGCCAAGTGAGGACAAAGCCTCACATTCCAGCTGGCGGATGCCCTTAAGGCTGTCATTTCCTCAGTCTTTGTCAGGCTTCATCCCGCCTCCTAGCTGCCGATTGGTCCATCTTCCGAGGCGCTAGGAAGGCGCTGATTGGCCTCCCAGAGGCGGCGGAGCCCGCTGATTGGACCAGAGGCGGGGCGTGCCGCCAAGCCTCCTCCCAGCTGTTCCGCGGCCAGCCAATCAGGACGAAGCCGGCCGGCAGAGGGCGGGCGGGAATTTTGAAACTGTTTCCCTTTGTCTGAACCTTATAAAATGCTTGGAAAATTCTGTAAAATCATGCTTGTATGTGAACCATCACTACAATCGCATCCTTTTCAGCTGAATCGCAGAATAAACGCCTCGGTCACTGAACCTCTTCCGCCTCCGGTGAGATTAATTTTTAAAATATCTTCGTCTTCTTTGGATTGGCTTCGCTGGCCTCACCGAGGTTCGAGGACCCTTTTGGGCGGTCCTAAGGGATCTCTCTCGCTGGGAGACCCCCACAAAAGAGCTCGATATCAGGGGAAATGCTACACGTCACAGACAAGCATCTCGAGCTCTAATTTTGGCTCTCCAGGTATTTATAGACTTCCTACCGGCAGTTTGCTGGTCACAGCTGACCTCCAACTGGAGCGCTCAAGGGTCCTGAATGACAGAGGTCTTAGCATTGATGGATCTGGCGTTTAAGAGCAGAATTTTAAGTCCAGGGGGTCTGTCAAGGAGACTACCACAACTAACCTTCTCCAGGGTCGCAAGTACTCTGCTGCGCTTCTCCCTGGGTAAAGAGTGACCGCTCTTCCTCCTTCCCCACACCACCTCAATGGCACCAGACCCATTCTGGAGAGGTTTGGGGAAAATACACCTTGACATGTGGGAGTTGCTGGGATGTACAGTTCCCCTGCCATCCAAGAGCATTCTGAACTCCAACAACAATGAAATAGAAGCAAACTTGGCATGCAGTACTCCCATGACACACAGGAAATACTGGAGAGGCTTGGGGAAGAAAGACCCCAAAAGCTGCACCGTCTGGCCTGGCCTTGCGTGAAGCCCCTCGCCTGGCTCGCACTGTTCGTTGGGCCTGGTGAGAAGGAAAGCAGCGAGGGGCTTCGGGCGAGGCCAGGCCCTGCTGTGCAGCCTCTCTCGCGTGACCTGCACCGTCCATCGAACATACTGCCCGATGAGATTAGGCGAGCCCCCCCCCCCCACACACACACACTTAGAAAGTTTTAAGAAGAATCTGAAAAACGTTGCGCTTCCGGTGATTAACCATGTAATCTGAGATTGCTGCTAACCATCAACACTGGTCTCTCCTGTACGAAGACCTTTCTTGACCTCATGTTCGAAGAGTATCTCCTTCACAAATAATCTCCTCCATCCCTATCTTACCCCGTGTTACTAGTTTTTAGTGCCTTAGCTTTAGTATTTTATTCTGTACATGCCACTGTCACAATCACTGTGTTATGTTTGATTTTAATTTTATATTGTTTTCTGTATTTTTATGTTTTATGCAATTCATCATGTTATTGTTTGTGTTTTGATTTTACTTCTTGTATTGTGTTGGGCTTGGCCTCATGTAAGCCGCCCCGAGTCCCCATTGGGGAGATGGAGGCAGGGTATAAATCAAGTTTATTCTTATTCTTATTATTTATCGAGCTTTGCAAGCAGCGAAAACCAGACGAGGGAGGCTGCATCGTGTGGCCTGGACTCATGTGAAGTCCCTTGCCTGGCTTGAGCGGCCCGTCAGGCCTGGCAAGCAGCTAGTGGTTTCACACAAGGCCAGGCCGCGCTGTGCAGCCTCCCTCACCTGGCTTTTGCTGCTTACCAGGCTCAACGGGTGGCGCAAGCCAGGCGAGGGCTTCGTGTGGTGCAGCCTCCCGCTTGCCAGGATTGTTGGGCAGCACGACTCAGGCGACGGAGGCTGCACAGTGCAGCCTGGCTTTGCATGAAGCCACCTGCCAGGCCAATGGGCACTGAGAGGGAGGCCTCCTTGCCGGGTTGGATAAATGTCCTTCGTGGGCCACATGTTTTCCGTGAGCCGTAGTTTGAGGACCCCTGCTGTAGACATTTCCTGTGGAAGCTGGATGAAGAAGAACTGATAAGGCTGGAATGCAGTTCTGGCAGAGAGTCCTGATGTGAGCGGACATGATTTACAGTGCTTACATATATCATGTAAATATTGCAATAAAGATAACACCCCTGTGGTGTTTGTTTTGCTGTCTGTGTTGGGGTTCAGCCTGAGTTTGAACTTGAACCTGATTCTCTGTTTGTTCCTCCTGATGCTAATGAAAGTATATTTACTGATGCTAGTGAAAATGTACCTTTTGATGCCAATGCTCCTGAAATTAGTGAGGAAGAAACTGCTGTAGGTTTGGAAAATGCCAATGTTCCTGAAATTAGTGAGGAAGGAACTTCTGTAGATTTGGAAAAGGAAAG